ACTTGTAAACTGCAGCAGGAAAGTAACAAGGTTCCACTCCATGTCTCCGGGAGACAGTTCTCTCCCCCTCAAATAGCTTGTGATAAAACAGGGATAATGAAATTGGGCGAGGAGCATCTGAGCAACTCCACCCAAAGTAGTGTGCAGCTTGCAAGAAAAAAGCCCAGCACCATCAGGTTCCCAGGGCTGCAAGGAGCTACCCAAAGCTGACTGGAGCCTTGTCTCTCCAAATGAAATGGACAAGTGGGGAACTGGATAAGCACAGGACTTTTCACATTGTTTATCATGGCGGGTTACTTCTTTGTTTCACTCTGCCTCCTTGGGACTGGGGGGAGGGATAGCTCAGTGGTTTGCGCATTGGCCTGCTAAACCCAGGGTTGTAAGCTCAATCCTTGAGGGGCCATTTAGGGATCTGGGGCAAAAATCTGTCTGGGGATTGGTCCTGTTTTGAGCAGGGGGTGGACTAGATGACCTCCTGAGGTCCCTTCCAACCCTGGTATTCTATAATTCTAAATGTACAGGGGTTTTATTTTGGGGGACACCATTCTCTTTCCCAGAAACTCTTCTGCCAGATGCTGTTGGTTCTTGAGGAACTGGATGACTGTTACAAATATCTAGTTCTTCTTCCACCCTATGCAGTCCAGACATCCAGTGATATCTCATCAACCTTCACCACTGCTGGGGAACCTGGTCCTCATCCACTGGGTCCATCGTTGGCTCTCACTCATTACCCTGAGCAGGTACTACTTCAAACTCTCCATTGATGGGCAAAGGGGTGCACACACTGACCCCATCTGTCACCACCTTCAGGGCCACCCCAAAAATTTGTGGATTCACAGCATTGAGCCACATCTGGGAACTTCACTACACAATGCCTGGTGCAACATCATGAACCATGCCACTCTGGCTGGCACAGTGGTCCTCAGTAAACTATGCATGTTTGATGATTTTCCCAACGTATGCAGGGGACATGACCTTTCTAAGCACCAGGAACAGTTCTGGAACAGTGTCCCAATAGTTGTGGTGGGGGCAAACAACTTAATTAGTTTTGAGAGAGAACTGGACGAATTTCTGAGTGTGACTGTATGACAGGGTTGCTTGTGATGGTAGGAGGCAGGGCTCGACAGCCCTGGAGCTCACTCCAGTTTATGTCACTAAATGGTCATGCTTCAGGGTTTCAACTGACCACCTGCAGGGGTCAGGAAGGGATTCTAATTGCTTTCTGGGGTGAAGAGGGGGTTAAACCTTCTTCCTGGAAGCATCAGGGATGGCCACAACTGGAATGGGACACTGGGACAGAGTGGGCTGGGGCTTTGAGGTGGCACCAAGCATTCTCTCTCTGAGGTGCTTGACTGCTTGGTTCTTGCTCACATGCTCAGGGTCTAAGTGATCACTACATGTGTGGACTGGAAGGAGTTTATGTTAATGTAAATCATCAGTATTAGAAATGTGAGATCTTAACAGCAAGTGTACAGAAAATGCTGTTGCTGAGACAGAAGCCACATACTGCTTTCTCATCTCTCAGATTTTACTTCTTGTTGGGTGTCTGTCACCATTTTGAAAAAGGCCCCTGTCACACACGTTGAACTTTGGAGGGTTCGGAGTAACACCCGCCCTACATTAGAAGTGCCTGGGATTTATTAGAGTATGATAACTCAATTGCAATGCTACACGGTCTATTGGACAGCATATGTACTCCTGTTCCCTCCCACCATTCCTCCCCCGGAGCCGTCCCTGGCCACGCTGCTCGGGACTGCGAACGCCCTGTCCTGCTGTGCAGGGGATGGGAGGGGAGCTTATGTTGGGTGCCCCCCTCCCGCTGCCCATGTACCTGGTCTCCTCTGAGCCAGGGTGACAGGTGAGGGGGGAATCGATGCTGCTGCCTCTCTGGGCCCGGGACTGCCAGCAGCCGCTGGTGTCTGAACAAGCCTTCAGGCTGCTGATCCTGAGTGCTTTCTTAAAGAGACAGTGTGCTCATACACTCACTCAGGCACATACACATGCCCCTCAACACACACATACAGACTGTTAAACATGAGAACATAAGAACGGCCATACTGGGTCAGACCAAAGGTCCATTTAGCCCAGTATCCTGTCTTCCGACATTGGCCAATGCCCCAGAGGGAATGAACAGAACAGGTAATCATCAAGTGATCCATCCCCTATTGCCCATTCCCAGCTTCTGGAAAACAGAGGCTAAGGACACCATCCCTGCCATCCTGGCTAATAGCCATTGAGGGACCTATCCTCTTTTTGAACTCTGTTATAGTCTTGGCCTTCACAACATCCTCTGGCAAGGAGTTCCACAGATTGACTGTGCGTTGTGTGAAAAAATACTTCCTTTTGTTTGTTTTAAACCTGCTGCCTATTAATTTCATTTGGTGACCCCTAGTTCTTGTGTTATGAAAAGGAGTAAATAACACTTCCTTATTTACTTTCTCCACACCAGTCATGATTTTATAGAGCTCTATCATATCCCCCCTTGGTCATCTCTTTTCCAAGCTGAAAAGTCCCAGTTTTATTAATCTTTTCTCATATGTCAATCATTCTATACCCCTAATCATTTTTGTTGCCCTTTTCTGAACCTTTTCCAATTCCAATATATCTTTTTGAGATAGGGCGACCACATCTGCACACGGTATTCAAAAGGTGGGCATACCTTGGATTATATAGAGGCAATATGATATTTTCTGTCTTATTATCTATCCCTTTCTTAATGATTCCCAACATTCTATTCGCTTTTTTGACAGCTGCTGCACATTGAGTCGATGTTTTCAGAAAACTATCCACAATGACGCCAAGATCTCTTTCTTGAGTGGTAACAGCTAATTTAGACCCCCTCAGTTTATATGTATAGTTGGGATTATGTTTTCCAACGTGCATTACTTTGTGTTTCTCACACACACACTCTGTGACATACTCCCCTCAACACACACAGTCTCTCTCACACACATGCACTCTCTCGCACATTCCCCAACACACTCATTGTTTCTCACACACTCCCCCAAGCACCAACATGCACACTGTCTCTCACATACACACAGTCTTTCACACACATGCACTCTCACACACGTTCTCTGCCCCAACACACTCTCTCTCACACACACAGTGTCCCTCACACACAGTCCCCCCAGCACACAAAACCAGCGCTCCCTGCACCCAGGTCATTTTCCGCACTTGGGCTGTGTGGTCAGGTGAGCAACAGGAGCTGCTGCTCTCCTGCCCTTTCCTTATGCAGCCCAGGTGGGGAAAGTGACCTGGATGCAGGGAGCAGTGCTGTCCCTCCTCACAGCCCCTTAGGGGTGCGCGGGGCGAAGGAGCAGCAGTTCGAGGGGGAGCAAGCAACAATACCAGCTGTTCTGTGAATCCAGGTCAGTTTCCTCATGTGGGCATAGGAGGAGGATGAAGGGGTTAGGGGCAAAGGGGGCACAGTGAAGGGGTTAGGAGCGCAGGAGGGGAGGACAGGGTTTGGGATGAAGGCGGTGCAGTGCAGGGGTTAGGGCAAAGGGGGTGTAGGGATTAGGGGCACAGGAAGGGAGTGCAAGGATTAGGGACACGGGGTCACAGTGTATGGGTTAGGGCACAGGAGGGGGCAGGGGTTAGGAGTGAAGGGGGTGTAGAAATTAGGGGGCAGGCATTGGGGTACAGGAGGGGGCAGGTGTTATGGGCA